AAAAAAAACCAAGAAGGCATTGCCTGCCTCTTACTCAAAGCAAAGAATTCTAGACTGGATGTCCTAGATTTTTTCTGCGAAAAAGTCAAACGATCGAGATCAGTATAATTGCTCAACCGATCTTGGCTACAAAAGGAGCAACATTTATGCTATCTTACCTCACTCTGGACTGAGTTACGCTTTCATTAGGAGCTAACAAAGGCGTATGCCATTTTTTGAGCAACAGAGTTCTGTTGATGCTGCGATTTTCAACATATGATATGCAGGATTCATGATGAAAACGCTTCTCCGCCATCAACAGTTTCTGAATGTTTTTCTCCGAAGTTGGACTAGAATACCGTTGAACACTTCTATACGACATTTACCTATGTACGTAGTTGTTTTCCTCATCGCCGAATTGATTTACTGGAGTTTTACTTTTGCTAGATAAATCTGCAATGGTTACTGCGGTAAAAAGCTCATAAATCTAAATTGAGATCTGTCTTAGCGCCATTAGTCAACAGATTGATTTAGCGTTCGCACGGTGTTTTTGAACCAAATTAATGAGCTCCATTTTTCGTCTCAATTAATTTACCTCTTCCGATTATGACAATTAATCTGGAAGAAAAATTGTAGGAAATCTTGGAACGAACGCAGGTGAAGAATTCGCACCGAAGCAGATGGGAAAAACAAAACAATCACGTAAGATCAACGCTGTTAAGAAGGCACCACGTACCACAGATCAACTTCAGGACCCACTTCTCACATAGACAAGCTTCTCTTGATTCGTGATCACTTTCAAAGAGTGAAAGAGTGCAACAATTATTTTGACGGTCTGAATGAACAAAACAGAAAGTGAGTTTATTCCCTTGTATGTAGGTGAAATGCACTCGAAGTTTCAAACAACATTATTTCAGATTTTTCGAGCAGTTCAAACTCGGCATTGACAGTCAAGCGCCGACAGTTGAGAAACAGGCAGCTTCCGTGATGGATGGGGTTGTACAGACCATAAATGCATTCACGGTAGGACCTTCTTCCAACTGAGAATTCATACCAGCTAAGCTTTTATACGTCCCCCCTCCCCTCCCAACCCTCCACCCTCCTCCAAAATAGGTTGC